TATATTTGGTGGATAAGACATTTCAACTAAGATTAAATTCTTCAAAATATGCTTATGGTGCTGTCAATCACGACAGAAACTTATAATTTCTGAAGTGTTGCAATCAATTGTGCAATAAATTAAGTTAGACAACCATCCCCTCTAATAAATGTGATTTAATGAACAAATGTGATATGTAAGTCATGCTAGCTAATTGGCGTAAACCAACCGAAGGAACTTTCAAGCCAGGGTCCGACTTCATTTTTGTGCCAATTGAGTAGGAGACCAGACACAAAATTTTGGGCCCAAGAGACTTGAATTGTAGACTGTACAAGATAACTACACGTCTCCTTGCTCGATAGAGCTATATATACTATCCTTGATATTTCGCAATTTCATGGTCACCATCTCCTAAGACTTGAAGTGTAGGTTTAGTCATTTAAATTCCTTTAAAATTTGTCTCCATGTTTCCTAGGCCTAGAAGACAGTAGCGCTTACAATCACTACGGATGTATGTTCACGTACTTTCCTCTATGCTAATCACAGATTTATTGTCTCTATATAAAATCCAAAGGAAACATAAATAAGTCCTATCAATGAAATCTAAAGTGAGTGACACTGTCATATTTGATACAAATTCATCAATAACTCAAAACCTATGCAATCTAATCTAATAAGTATATATGACTTTAATCTGGTCTGATATTCATGGTGCCCAGACCATCGTGTTAAATGTGAACCAAATTAAGAGATGTCAACCCTTGAGTCGTTGGACTTCGAGACTCACCCATGGATCCAATGGTCGATGTTCCTTTGGTGCGCGTTTAATGTCATGAACCACTAAATACTTTCTCCTTCATCAGACTCTTTAAACCTCTTAAATTTTGTTTTAATACCATGATAAATAGTAATTTCCTGTAGAAAATAAGTTGTTGGTCAAAATGTACATATCAAGTTAACTCCCATGTAATTTAAAAAAAAAACTAAACTGTATCTTCTATTATAAAAACAAAACAAACGGTATCAATCTTTTCTGGTCCAATCCAAGCTATTTCCATCCAGCCAGCCTTTGATAAGACTCACTAAGTCCATCTATTTATTCTAATAAATCTTGGCAGACAAGTTTTGCTAGCTTTCAGCTGAATTCAATAAATGCAAGCTTTTTTTTAGCTCAACTTCTGTCACTTGAATGTTGCATCAGGACAGCCTTATGCTTGAGGACCTCTTACGACTTCAAACAATTAGTAATTAAACCTCATTACTTCAGTTCGAAACATCCTAGAAAATACACTAGAAGAGAATTCTTTGTCCATGTTCAAGTAGAAAAACTCAGGTTTCTGTTCCTACTAGATTAATGAACCACGTGCTATGTAGGAAAAGAAGATGTCCTTCTGCCTGCAGAGTTTGGTAAGTGAAAATAAGGTGGCATCAAATCCTTGAGTCGGTTATCATATTACGAATAGTTGGTGTATCAAAGACGGTCTGATCTTTTTAGTACGTAGACACCCTGTACCTCTTTTGCTGCAGATAGACCTCGCTGGATTCTCAACCCTGCGAGTCTTTATGCAAGTTCATATATAGTCGGTAAAATCACTTTGTAATGTATCAGTTTACGAAGGTCAATCCTAACGTGAAACTATCGAAGTTGATCCAACGGGTCCGTCTGCAATACTAAAAGTACAGGGTGTCTATCTGCGATTAGTATTCATTTCCAAGCCTCTTTTGTGCTTTACGATCCAAGAATACAGACAGTTCTTGATGTACCAGTCATTCAGTAGAATTCTGAACCAACAAACTCTCAACCATAGGGAGACAAAGGCATGTGTCCTGCAACATCTCAATTATTAGATACCAATCCTTGCAGAGGACATCCTCAACAATGGAAGAATTGGTCATGAGTTGGTTATGAGGTGTGAAGTTTGTGTAGAGCTGAACAGAATCACAGGTTGATGACCATGACAAATTGGCTAGCACATGGCATTTGTCTCCCGACTTAGAAAATTAAACTAGTAGAGTGACCAGAATGTATTATAAGCTTACATAGTTCAATATCATAGATTAATTAGCTAGAGTAGTGTCAAGTCCTGAAAATATTACGAAAAAAAGAAGTGTTAGCTCTCTTTTTCATTTTAAGTATTCGCTAAACTAAAGAAAGTGCTTGAATTTATTATTTTATAAAATACACTTCAGCTAGTGCTTATGTTCTTCCTTTAAAAGAGGGAAAAACAATCCTTCAAATAAATAATTGTAACATAGTTATTATGTTTCAAGTAAATGTTTTTAATCAACTCTTTTCAAGTTCCCTGCAAAAAGAACAAAAAAGTTAATTTGCCATCTATAAGTTGCCATTTGTATGATTTACTCTTGTCATACATCGCGTGCTTTGGCTTATCCAAATGCACTCAAAAATAAAATGCAAATGTAGATGGATTTTGAGGTATTGAAACAAGAAAGATAATTTTCCTTCCTTTTGTTTTCCTTTCTTGTTTCTAGAACATTCTAAATCATGTTATGTGAATAGGATTTGAAGCTCACATAATTAATATTTTAATTATACTAGTATGGTGAACATGCTTTGCACGAGAACATGTTTTGTTTTATATTTTTAATTTTTTTTTGCTGGCTACCAAATAATGAAATGACTGACTCGTATAGCAATGTAAACTTCGAACAATTACAATTTTGTTTAAATGAATAAATTGTACGATGAAATTGTGTATAAAGAACTGTATGATTAATTAGTATAGTTTGGATAATTGTCATAATTTATTAAAATAATTATAATATATTAAATAATATATTTTCTTTTAAATATAATAATATTATACAGAGCATATTTATAATACTATTAGTAACTACATTTTAATTTCATAATTAGCTTATTACACTATTAGTAAATAATTTACTAAACTGTATAAATATTAAATTACAATGTAAATTGTTAATAAAAAATATGATTAAAATCAGTATACTATTAATACAATTACAATTACAATAAAACCCAAAGGCATAAGGAATAAGCCAAATGAATTTTATTATTTTGAATTTTTCTAGAATTTTAAATATTATGTGAAGGTAAATTAAGGATAAATTTCAAAATTTCTATTAAATAATACAATTAAATAATAAAATAATAGTGTGACCAAAGATTTTGAAAAAAAAAGAGGAAATGCATAACTAATAAGAAGTTATATATAATTGGTGAATAATTAATTACAACTATGACATATATCAGAATTATCAAACTTAAAAGGGTAAAAATGGAAATCAAAAGTTTTGACAAGGCAATCCTCTTTTATATGCAGTATAGGTATATATAGATTTCTTGTCATGATTTAGATTGTTTTAGAAACAAAAAAAAAAAAGAAATTATCTCTTTTGCAAAATTACAGCAAGAGATATCATTATAGATGTTATATGAGATGTAAATGTAAAATGGTCTGTTCCTTTTCTAAGACAAGGGTTAGATATGTAGCAACGCAAAATATAACAATTGCAAAATTGACTATGATCAAATTTAAGATTCAT